GTTTTTTTTGTTCTTGTGTTTTCCATATTAAATCTTTGTGTGTGTGTGTGTGTGTTTGTTTGTTTGTCCTTATTTCTGTGATTACTTTCTTGTTTGTCCATATTTGATATTTTATTCTAAAATTTTCAAATTTTCTGCACTGTCATTTTGATTGTAAATTGATCGAAGCCCTCTCTTTTCTATCCAAACAAGATACATTGTTAATTAACATTTATTAGTTAGTTACATTTAAACCAAACGCACCCACAAAACACAATGCTTTTTTCGTTTATCACATAATTGCTTCAAACAAAACACACCCTTACAAAATTCAATGTTTTGTTAAAAATGGACTGGCTTCATCTCTATTCATACATGACCAGTTCCAATTCTTTAATATCCTTTCAATAATGTCATTAATTCTAACAACTTCAAATTCTTCAGTATAAATTAATTCAATGCTGGAATAGTTAATATAATCCTCTTAAGTATTATTCATAAATGCTTAAATCCTTAGTGATTTTTAACTTTATTACTGATTAATATGTCTGCATATGACTTTATGTGAGGACAAAATCATCATTCATACCATTGGTCTTTTTTAAATAAGAACGCATTATCCAACATTCATGTATTGTTGGTCATTTTTAAAAGAAATTGCATATTGTGGGTCATACTTTAAATATTTTTTTTTTAAATAAAAATACACTTTTGACCTTTTTTTTTTTTAAATAGAATATCATTCATCACATTATTAGAATTAATTTATTTCTCAAATACTATCAATCTCTAAATTAGGATAGGGAATAATTATGAGAAAAAGTGATTTTAACATAAAAATAATTCCACCCCTGCATGCATTCGGGGGTTGAACCAGGTGACGTCCAGGGTAGACAATTCACACCTTGGAATTTACAATTTCGCTATATAAATAGTAAATTTAAATAAATTTTATTATATACTTATTAATATATATATATATATATATAATCGAATGGTATGTATTTAATTTACATATCCTTTATCAGGACATTTAGAATCAAAATTTTGATCAAAGAGCATATCCAGCGCTCCCAAGATTCATTTCTTTTCCAACCCTCAAATGTCTGCACATAGTTTAATAGTCATGGCTTGAAAAGATGGATTAAGGGTCCATTTGGGGCAGCTTATCTTGAACGTGGCCCGCGGGCCGGCCGCAGCGGTCGACTTGAGGCCTGCGTTTAGTGTAAAAACCCAAACTCAATTTCGGATAAGCTGATGAACACGCGAACCAAACAGTACGACGATATTTTAAAAACGTCGCCCGCACTTATAAGCTGCCCTAAACGGACCCTAATATATGTGCCACGTTTGCTTGATTATTTTTCTCTTACCCTAAACAAAAACTATATCAAAATATTAAGTTAAAAGAGGTTTTTTTTTTCTTTTTTCGAGATATTTATGTTATTAGTCATCTGTACCAGTAAGTAAAAGAGAGGAACGGGCATAGTGATTCTCCACTTAAATGTGCAATGAATTCCTCAGCTGTCTTTTTGCTGCTGAGTTGCTGGATGCTGACCGGATTGTTCTGTTCTTTCTGCTTTTGAAGCTTTAGGTCTCTGCTCTCTTCTTTTTGAAAATTTATTATAGCCTAAATTTGCATGCATGCAGACTTCAACTCAACATAATTATTTGTATTGATTGTGTTCATAAATACAACCGATGGTACTCAAGTCTGTCTTTTTTCATTTTATTAGATATGATTTCAAATCATATCTGATTGGTTGTTTTGTTTATTTGTTATTTTTAATAGATTTGTATTTTTATATGACTTTCATGTGTATTTCTTCTTCATCTATAATAAAGTTGAGTGTGACACTATTTTCCCCAAAAAACAAAAACAAAAAAAAAAAGAATAATTCTAACAATTTAGTCTCCGTTTGGGGCCGCCGTACCGTTTGGTTCGCGCGTTTTGTCAGCTTATCCGAAACTGCGTTTGGGTTTTTACACTAAACGTAGGCCGCGGGTCGACCTCTGCGGCTGGCCCGCAGGCCGCGTTTCAGGATAACCTTATCCTGAAATGCACAAGCTGTCCCAAACGGACACTTAAAAGGGTTAGAAAACCACCGCATCACCGGGCCAACTACTCAACTGCTAATGGAATCTATATTCAAAAATAGTAACATATTTAAGGCATGATTTCTAAAAGGATGAAATATAATGACAGAGGAGTAATTACAGAATCTGAATCTGAATCTTAAATTATTGTTTCAGATGGTCAACGGCCCCTCCTCCTGGCTATACATCAGACCTAAAATGAGCAAGCTATTTAATGTCCAACTAAGCAATGGACTCAGTTTGCTTTCTGGCCTTTTCCTTTCTTCATGGAATTTAGAGCTATGGATGCATGTGCTTTGAATCCTTGGCATGCAAAACTTATCAAAAAAGCAATTTTTTTCCTTATTTTACAATTTCTAATGCAGGTACATCTCTTTCAATTTGTTCAAGGAACCTAAGCTTTTATTTCATCTACTGTAGCTTAATTATCATTCATGAGATAGCAAACGATATTCTTAGTGACCATGGGGATCTAAGCAACACGAGCTCATCAATAATTAGTAGATAAATGCATATCATCATCATTATATCTTAGCCAACTATTTTGGGACTAAATCCTCCTCATCTAAAGTTGTAAAAAATGTCGATAATACCCTTTGTTCATCTTCATAAAAACAGAGAGAAAAAAATAATATTGATTAGTTTAAGATCTCAGAAAATATTCAATAGAAATGAATGCATATACAGAAAGTCAATTTTGAATAGTTGGAATAAGATTAGTGATATTGTTTAGGGTTTAGTGTGTTGGTAAATTTATGGTGGTTGACTGATATTATAGCATCTTATTTTTGTACGAATATCTGATACACCCATATAAAAAAAACGAATAAAAAGAATAATAGGAGTTTTTTAATAAGCAAATCATGTGATCTGGCCCAGTTGAAATGATTCAACTATGTCGATGTATGTTACAAGATTTTACCATCCCTTGAATAGTTGTAAGGGCAACGACATGGTTGCTGTGAAAAAAAGCTAATTGTAGAGGCCGTGCGTCAGAAAATCTATTGCCAATATTTTTTGTAACAACGATCATATGGCAGTGGCCGGGAAGCGACGATGGTGGTCCGATGGTGGCTGGGAAGCGGCAACGTTGGTCCTGTGGGGGCGACGGCTTGAAGGCAATAGTCATGCAGTGGTGGTCTGATAGTGGCGGTGGGTAGACAGAGAGGACCGAGCAATGGTGGTCCTGCGGTAGTGGTGGTTGTGGCGGCGGTGGCGGTGGCGACAGTGGCTAGATGGGAGAGGTCAGATGACGACGATGGTGGTACAACGACGATGATGGCTCGATAGCGATGGTGTGGCAACGGTGTTGCAGTGATGGTGGCGACTCGATGGTGGTGGTCGGGTAGCAGCTAGTGTGTGGTAGTCCAATGATGTTGGAGCTCAAGGACCCTCGAGAGCTTGGAGATCTTTCAACTTTCTCTTTTAGATCCAAGTCTAGATCCAAGTACAAGTTACCCTTCATGAAAAAAGTGAGGATTTATTTATAGATTTTTTTAGTAAAATTGACCGTATGAATTTGCATCACTCCATCGGATTTTATAGAGTGATCCCTTTGATCAAATGATATTTTATGAGCATTTGAGTGACTTAATGTGACATAATCGAGTGATCTTGGGCGCATTAGATTTTACTCAATGGAACACTAGTTTTGAATAAAAGATTGTCAAATTTAGAATCCATTTGATCATTTAATTGCACATCCAAAGTCTACAATTATGTTTAAACGGTTTGATTTGTGCTTGATCGGACTCGGATGCAACAAATTTTGGCTTCCTTGGAATGTTTTCTTAAAATAGTCAATTTGACTATAAACTTGTTGTAATTGAGACTCCGAATAATTTTGAAGTTAAATTTGAAATATTTTGATATTCATATATGATTAAAATATTTTTTTAAGAACTCAGCAAATCTAATTCAAATTATTCATCAAGTTCACTCATTCATTTACTATTATATATGTCAAGACTGGATTTGAAGTGCAGTGCACCCATCGCATAAGCGCCAGGTTGTGGGTGCATATAAAGCCGAACCACAGATAAGCTGGTGCATATGCGCCACCCAATGGGAGCATATGCGCCTAGTTTCTAGCGTTGTTTGTTATAGGAAGGCCGGCCCATAGGCGCCTACTTGGAGTGGGCGCGGTAGTGTAGGGGGCGCCTATGCGCCCCCCCTTTTGGGCGCTTAGGCGCCAAAGTGGCGCTTGTTTCCCGAGACCTTGGCGCCTATGCATCAAGTCTGGGTGCGCCCAGGAAAGCTTTTACACGGATTTCAATTTTAAGTTTGAATTTAAGCAGTGTAAGAGAGTAGGCTGATGTTATTCCTTTAACATTCTTCGACGAGCATTCCGATAAAGATGAGAAGTGTCGAGGATGTGAATTTCAGTGATTAGGTGCGAGTTTTGATGTTTTTCCCCCATTCAAGAATTCTTCTAAGTAAAATTCTCATATTTTTTTATTGCTTTGAATGTTCGATTTTTTGAAATTGGTGCGATCCAAAAGTACTGATAAAATTATGAATTGTTCTTCGTATGGGATTTCCTGTCATTTACCGCTGTAATCATCGCTAATCCGATAAGTGTGAAATTTTAGGGGCTGGTGTTGGCCTTTGTTTCCTCTAAAATTGAAGAGTGAAATTACTCATCTAATTTATTTCAGTCACAGATGCCCCGTCCTAAAATTTACTGCAACCAAGTACAATTGACCAGGAATGTGCGTTATTTTCTAGTACAAATTACATTTCCGTCACGGCCGAACACCTTTTATTGTTTGTTTTTTATTAAGAAAAGGGGGGCATTTACATGCATAACACCCAATTCTTCTGTAATTGTATGTATCTCTCATCTAACTTCTATTTTTTTATATTTAGCCCATTAAAATTTTCATATTATATTGAAGCCAGGCTAACCTCTGGAGCGTACTTTTTTACTTTTTGGAAAAGGCGACAGATTTCGTTCACGCAATATCAAAGTTGCAGTTCGTCATTTACCCAAAAACAAATGGGGGAGAGCGCGTGCCGACGGGGGAGTTACCAAATCTCTTCCTAATTTCCTTTTCAGACCACAAAAGCGAACGGATTTCGGCGCTTCCTGAACTTCTATTTAATAAGGAAATGCTGCGTTCTTCGCCTTCCCTGCTTAGCGTCTCCCGGATTTCCCCCGCGATAAAGGAGGTTTTTTGACTTGAAATCTTTTTCAGAGATCGCCATGGAGGAAGCGCAAGGTATGTTTTTTTGGTCAAATTTTTCCAGTTCTTGCGTTTTTCTGCGATGCCTTAGCTTTAATCCCTCGCCGCATTTGCATTGCTTGTTTTATAATTTTCTTATTTGATGTTCGTTGTTTTTTTTTTAAATTTTTTAATGGCTTTGTTCCTTTGGGTTGTTCGTCAATCTATCATTTTGGTTTCTTATATTTCTGCAAGCATTTTATATATAAGAGAAAAATGATTTGAGATTAGGTTACGTTCCTTGTTTTTTTTTTCTCGTGCGTCTAATTTTTTTCTCTGAAGCGTTGCTTGCAGATTTCAAATTTCTTTTCTTTTTTGCGTGTTCTTCAAGTTATTGTAGATTACTGTTTTTTCCTTTTTTTCTTCTTAAAATCTTTTTTAGAGTTGATTTGAACTTGTTGACTTTAGAATCTGATTTGGACTTTTTGGTGCTTACATATTTCTTCACCTCCTGTTTTGGGCATCATTACGCAATCGAATTTCTTTTCGTAATTTGCTAATTTTTTTGTTGAATATTACTATTCTCTTACTTTTCCTTCCATTGCCTTCAGAGCTGCATTTTATAGGAATAGCATGAAGATTTCTTCTCTTTATTTTGCAATGAAGTCATTGAGATTTTCTTACTTTGCGGCCAGAGTATATCACTTCGAATCGTAACTGAACTTTATTTATGTCATGGCAGTGTCAATTTCAGGATAGAATTGTTTGGAATGAATATCTGGTGTTTTGTAGATCTAGACTTTGTTTTTTACTTTTCTTAAGTTTCTGCTGTTATGAGAATCTTCTCTGGCTAAGATTCATTCTGTTGTTCAAATAATAGACTAAAATTCTATTTTCTGCCTTTTCTGAACTGTAATTTTTTTCTTTTCCCTCAATTTTTGTCTTTTCATCAGATTTTATTTGCAGGGAAAGGTTTTTTTCTTTCATTTTTTCAGCTATTTTTTTCTGCAATTGCAGCTGCTGTTTGGAATATAATTGATTAATGAGCATTATATGCTGCATTTCCTTAACTGCATTATGATTTGTTGGTTTCAGTTGTTAAAAGAAATGATGGCACCATTTCGGTGGCTTCTGCTTATGCTGGTCATCACGAAGGTAAAGATGGCCTGTATCATTTTTTTATTATTTGTGATCATTTTTGCACTTAAAAATAATCAAAATAAATGTTTTTATTATTAAAAAGGAAAATCTATTTTCTTTCAGCAATCCTGAATAAAGATCACAAGTTCTTATCAAAGGCAATTGAGGAAGCATATCATGGGGTTGATTGTGGTGATGGAGGTCCTTTTGGAGCAGTTGTTGTTTGTAATGATGAAGTGATAGTGAGCTGCCATAACATGGTATTGAAGCAAATGGATCCCACTGCCCATGCTGAAGTAACTGCAATAAGGGAGGTAGGTGTATTTTTTATTTACTTAGCAATTTTCTCTCTTGCATCTATATTTTTTTTTTCTGTCACAATTAGTTTATTTTTTCAATAGCCTACTTGAATTACTGATCAACACAGGTGTTACTTAAAATTATATAAATCTAAGAAACATTTGTGATTTTTCAATTTTGCCGTTTTAAATTCTAGCCATATTTATCTTTTTTTTATTGTTCGAAAGCATTCTAATATTATTTGATAAAGCCATATTTATCTTTTTTTTTTTCTATTGATCTAAAGCATTCTAATATTATTTGGGACATGGATACATTGTAATGTATTATTATAAACGGGTTTTACAATTGTTTTCATTCCTTGAATAGCTGTCCTTCTTGATAAATTATATCTAGCTGTCATTCTGTCTTTTCCTTTTTTTTGTTTTTTGTTTTTTGTTTTTTTTTGTTCTCTTGGGGATTATCTTCTTACTACTTTTTAGGAAAAAAAAGGGGTAAGAGAACTTATGATTTTTTTAATGATGCGTCTATTATTCAAGAAAAAAACAATATCTTTATTGTATAAGAATTTTCAATTATCCTTGCATTTACTCATATCATCCTTAGTAATCATCTCATCCTTTTTCTAAGATGTACAAATGATATTTGGGGAGCTTCTAGAATCAATGATGTTGTTAGAATGCATGGATGATTTTTTATCTTTATTGATGATTAAACAAAAATATTGTAGATATTGAGAGGGAGGTAGAACTAAAAAGGATTGGACATGTTGTATAAAAAATGATCTTAATTTATTAGAATTAAATGAAAATATGATGTTGCGGCGAGATTTATATACCAGTTGATGTGGTACATATATAAATCAAACAGGAGAACGATCGACGAAGCGAAAAATAGAACGAGAAAAAATTAACACCAGAAAACAGTAACACCACAGCGAAACACACATATTTACGTGGTTCGACAAATTGCCTACGTCCACGGAATTGCAAAAGATTTTACTACTTGAGGAATTTACACCAATCGATCACCTCGACTTACAAGAAGAATCTCTCACTTCGTTGCTCTCTCTTCTTCTCTCTCTGTTCTTCTCTCTCTACACCGAGATACACCGAAGAAACTCTACATCGAGATACACCGAAGAAGATAAACTTACAAGAGAAATAAACCCAATTTATCTTCTGTCACAAGTCACCAAGAAGAAGCCTAGGGAGAACAATCTTCTTTTTCTTTCTTCTTCTTCCTTCTCTCGCAAGAAACTACTTCTTACACTTTCCTTCTTTCTATTCCAAGGAAACCCGAAGAACTCTTCCTCTATCCCGAAGAAACCCGAAGAAAACTCAAAACCGTGACTTGTCCTAAAACTGAAGGAGAGCAGCTGCGATGCCTTTTATTGCAAACAGGAAGGGAGGTTGGCGACGTTTCGCGAATATCGCGACCTCTCGCGACAGTGGAGTGAGAACAGGTGAGCGCGACGAAGCTTCGCGGCAGACGCTAGCGTCGATTCGCGAAATGGGAGGAACGGGAGCGGGATTCGCGAAACATCGCAATCGGGAGGCGGGAGCGGGAATCTGAACCGGTCTCCACACTAACATATGACACTCAATAGGACACAATGAAGTAAAAAGAATCATGTAGCCGACCCCATTTAGCGGGATAAAGGATTGCTGTTGTTGTTGTAAACAAAAATTGAGTAAATATATCTAGCAAAACAAAAAGTAAAGATTGGCAAATATTTCAAAATTTCTACTAAATGATTAAAACTCAATTCCAAGCAATGATACAAGTCCTTAGAAAAGATAAATGAGATATTATTAGGGCTCAAGTCAAGGGAAATTGCATAAAAAATCATGTGTTGAAACCTCCAACAAAATGAAATTGTTGAAGTAAAAAATGGCAAATATTAGAAGTTGTTGGATTCTATATATTGTATTCTCAAGTTTTATGGTTTTTTCGGAGTGAAGTCATTCATATCGTAGCATATCTTGGGTTTTAACACCTCATGTCAAATACTCTTTACTTCAATTCTAAACATTCAATCTATCTCCATCATTTTTATTAAAATATTCAGTGTTGTCTTTTGCTCAGTTTCCCCAACAATATGGAAACAAGCCTAACGCAAAATAACACACCCCGCCCCTGTGAGCCTTTAAGAAAATCATAGAAACTCAATAGGAGAGTTTAAGCTAACAATTAAGAATAACTTAAAGAAATAAAGTATATGATTTAAATAATATTAGTCAATCAATTGTTGACCTCAATTTTAGTGAGGTCTTAGTCTTAGTCTCCTTGAACCTAGGATCTAGCTTTAGGAGTTCTTATTGACCATCCTAGCGGACTAGCGATGGAGCCACCTCCCGTAGAACTTCAAGCCAATTCTTGACTCATTTTTGTGAAGAACTCGCATGAGTGGTTCGAAGCACTCAACTTTTAGTTGCAAGGGCTAAGGACCAACATGTAGAGGGCCCGAAATTGAGTTCCTATAGGATCAACAGCCTTAGGTGGACCCTTTGTGACTCGATTACTCGCGAACGCCATTTTTTTTTTCAT